TAGTTCTACCCAAATTCATCTTTAAGAGTCATTGGAGACCATTGGCAAGGACGACGAGCTTCCCCTTAGAGTCCAAGCAAGTGATTGAGCACCCCTTTGGAGAACGAGAACTCTCTTCATCTTCTACCTTTCTGGGTTTCTTTTGTTTGAGTTTTCCTTTGTGGTTATGAGTTTATTTATCACATTCTTCGTAGTTTATTTTGTTATGAGTAACTAAACCCATAGCTAATACTATGGCGGATCCTACTACAAACTTTATGTGATTCTTACTTTAATGTTGGTATTGGCTTTCCTTTAATGTTTGGTTTTATTCTATTAGAATGTATTGTGTATGTTAAGATTTGATCACCCTTAGCATCCCATAGTTAGTTGCATTATAGGCGATCATACCATGTGTAATTAACGAAACTATAGGATAAAACGAGATAAAGGGCTAGGTTAATCACACTTAATTACTTTCTTTCAGCCGTTATTGAGTTAACAAACTCATAGGATCTTCATGCTTTCTCGACCAATTACCTTGCATGATCATTGGAGGCATTTGCTCAGGGAAAAGAATATTGACATTGCATGATCATTGGGGGTGTTTGCTCAGGGAAAAAATATTGACATTGCATAACCATTGGGTGTTAATAGAACTAATTATGAGTGGTTGGCAAATATTTGAATACCAATATCAGGAGTAAATTAATTAGAATATAAAGAAGTGTAGTAGGTGAACCCATAAGTACTAGGCTCATCTCATCTTATTTCTCTCATACATTCTATTACTGTATTTTTAATTTATTGTAAAATTAAGCTCTAATTTTGATCCGTTACAATCCCGTTACGTTTAAACAATCAAATTAAATTATTCTTGGTACTTGAAAATAATATTTGTTAGACGATAACTTGAGAACTCTTAATTCGAAAACCCTTTATTACTTTTTGATAAGTATACTTGCCTACGAACAAGTTTTCTGCGCCGTTGTCGGGGATTAGTTTTGAATATCAAAGAAAATCGAGTTTTTGGTTAGTTTAAACATTTTTTTTTATGCTCACTCGTTCTAAACCTATTGCAGAACTCGCTTTTGATCCAGAAATTGAGAAAACCGCACGTAGGCTAAGGAATAAGTGTAGAGAAAGAAAAAGATGGCAAAAGAACGACCAATCTTATAGTACATGACACCCATTGCTGAGGTTGATGCCAGAAGCATTGTAGCACCTAACATAGAGGCCAATAATTTTGAATTAAAGTTGGCCTTGATAAATCTAGTCCAGAACTCCACACTATTTTCGGGGCGACCTGATGAAGACCCTCACTTTCATCTGAAAAAGTTTCTCCGACTCACGGATACCATCAAATACAATGGTGTCACTAAAGATGATATAAGGCTTCGCCTCTTTTCATTCTCTATCACGGAAAAGGTGAACGCATGGTTCTCCACACTTCTATCTAATTCAATTACAACGTGGAATGGCCTGACACAACAATTCTTAGCCAAATATTTTCCACCATCATTTCGACGAAGCTGATGACAAAGATCTCCAATTTTCAACAATATGAGTCTGAATCTCTGTTTGAGACGTGGGAGTGCTTTGAAGAACTTCTAAGGAGATGCCCACATCATGGTTTCCCTATGTGGAAGCAAATGCATATTTTCTATGTTGGACTCTAATCTTCTAATAGAGCTACAGTTGATGCAGCTGCTGAAGGATCCTTCCTATGCAAAGGGCCAACTGCAACCCATACATTGATAGAAAAGATAGCATCTTGTAATTTTTAATGGCACACAGACCATCACAGAAGCAAAAAGAAGGAAGTTGCTCCAATCTACCAAGCAAAAAGTAGTGACTCAATAACAAATAAGTTGGAAACTCTGTCAAAGCAAATAGAATTCTTACTAAGGGCACAAGATCCATCAGCAAAACATCCAGAAACTAAGGAGGCCAACTTCTTGGGCAACAATTACAATTCTGGATGGCGTAGCAAACCCATGAACTCATGGGAGAATAGCCAAGGAGGTCAAAATTCAAATGTTTATCGCCCTCCCCATATGTAATTTCAAGGGTAAGGATAGAAAGAAGAGAGCCCTCAAACTTTTAATTGGAGCAGAGAATTTCAAAGTTTGAGTTCCAGATGGAACAACAAAGTCTTTAGATAAAGCAACAAGCCCAAACAATGGACAAGAAGTTTTCAGAAATAAGCTCTGATACATCCGAGATAAAATCACAACTAGGACAACTTACAAATTTGTTGACTCAAAGAGCGCTAGGGACGTTGCCCTGCCAGCCTGAGCCTAACGCCCAAAGAACATGACAAGGCAATTACATTGAAAAACAGGAAGACGTTGCCTGAAAATGTGCCAAAGTCACAGAATATCGTTGTATGCACGCCCGTGCTCCCTTATATGCACGGCCAAGCTGACACCACAGAAACAAAACAAGAAAAGAAAGAAACACCATCAACAGTGCCCAGGCCTCAAGAACTTTGAATCCCTTTTCCGCAAAGGTTGACAAGCAATCAGAAGGACCCACAGTTCAACAAATTCCTTGACATTTTGAAGAAGTTGCACATCAACATGCCCTTTGTGGAGGCCATCTCTTAAATGTCCAAATATGTTAAGTTCCTTAAGGAAATATTAAGCAATAAAAGGAGGTTAGAGGAATTTGAAATGTAAGGCTTAATGAAGAATGTTTCACAATCCTTTTGAAAAAGCTACCCCTAAAACTTAAAGACCTAAGGAGTTTTACTATTACTTGTACTACAAGTAGCTCTCATTTTGATAAAGCCCTATGTGATTTAAGGGCTCTCATTTTGATCTAATGTCTCTCTCTGTTTTTAAAAGGTTGGGTATGCAAGAACCCAAACCTACCTCTATTTCTTTGCAGTTAGCAGATAGATCCATCACTTACCCAAGGGGTATAGTAGAAGACGTCTTGGTAAAGGTAGACAAATTCATCTTCCCTGCAGATTTTATTGTACTAGACATGGATAAGGATAATGAGATTCCCATTATTTTGGGGAGACTATCCTTAGCCATTGGGAAGACCATTATAGACGTCCAGCAAGGGAAGCTCACATTGAGGCTAAATGATGAAGAGGTTATTTTTAAAGTTTTTTATTCTCTTAAACACTCTTCTAGTTTTGATTCTTATAATTTTATTTCTATAAATGATCTTTTTTCCTCTTTAGACTCTGTATAATTAATTGATAGGTTGAGAGATGATACTCTAGAGAAAATTCTCACGCTTGAAAAAGATGCTCTAATAGAAATAGAGGAAGTAATAGATGAAATCTTGGCTTTGGAGATCGAGAATCGAAGTCGATGGTTGGCGCCTAGGCATTTTGAAAGCTTGGGAGCACAAGATATTCAAATTCCTAAACCATCCATTGAAGAACCCCCTAATTAGAGCTCAAACCCATTCCCTTTAATCTTAAATATACTTTTCTATCTCCTCCCTCTTCTCTTCCTGTAATAATTTCTTCTAAATTGACAGATATTATGGAGAAGAAATTGATGAGAGTCTTGAGGGAGAATAAGGAGGCCTTTGAGTGGAGCATTCATGACATCAAGGGTCTTAGCCCTTCCATTTGCACCCATCGGATGCACTTGGAGGAGGAATTCAAATCCAAGGTTCAACCTCAAAGGAGACTTAACCCCAGTCCGAAGGAAGTAGTAAAAAAGAAGGTAATTAAGTTATTAGATGCTGGTATTATTTTTCCTATTTCTGATAACCCTTGGGTGAGCCTTGTACAGGTTGTACCAAAGAAAGGAGAAAAGTAACTGGGTGGCGAATGTGCATAGACTATAGGAAGCTCAATAAGGCCACCCGAAAAGACCACTTCCCCCTTCCTTTTATTGATTAGATGTTAGAAAAATTAGCAGGGTGTGAATTTTATTATTGTTTGGATGGTTATTCGGGTTATATGCAAATACCTGTCGCATTAGAAGACCAAGAGAAGACTACTTTTACATGCCCTTATAGTACTTTTGCATATAAATGGATACCATTTGGTTTGTGTAATGCCCCGATGACATTTCAGAGATGCATGATGGCCTTATTTTCTGATTTATTAGAAAATTGTATTGAGATTTTTATGGATGATTTTTTTGTTTACGGCAACACTTTTAATAATTATTTGCATAGCCTTGATTTGGTTTTACAAAGATGTAAAAAGGCTAATTTAGTTTTAAATTGGGAAAAATGTCAGTTTATGGTTGATGGATGCATTATTTTGGGGCATAAAGTTTCTAGTAAAGGTATAGAGGTAGACCCTGCTAAGGTAGAAGTTATTGCTAAACTTCTCCCTCCCACATGTGTTAAATTTGTTAGGAGTTTCTTAGGGCATGAAAGGTTTTATAAGAGGTTTATTAAAGATTTTTCAAAAATAGCAAACCCTCTTTCTGATTTGTTGGCTAAGGGTATACTGTTTAAATTTGATGATGCTTGTTTATATGCTTTTAATACCCTTAAGAGTAAGTTGATTGATGCCCCTGTGGTTATTTCTCCTGATTGGTCTTTACCCTTTAAGCTTATGTGTGATGCTTGTGATACAGCTGTTGGAGCAATTCTAGGCCAGAGGAAGGACAAGATTTTTCAAACCATTTATTATGCAAGTAGAACTTTGGATCGAGCACAGCAAAACTATACCACTACTGAGAAGGAGATGCTAGCTGTGATATTTGCATTTGATAAATTTTGCCCTTATTTGATTATGTCTAAAGTCATTGTTTATACTGACCATTCTGCTCTTAGATATTTGATGGCTGAATAGGATGCTAAGCCAAGGATTATTCGATGGATTCTTTTGTTGCAAGAGTTTGATGTAGAGATCTGAGAGAAAAAGGGGAGTGAGAACTATATTGCTGATTACTTATCTAGATTAGACCCCTTAGTGAGGGAGAACACCAAGGTAGAAATTAAATAGACATTCCCTGATGAGAGGATTTTTGCTATTTCTGGGGTACCTTGGTATGCAGATTTCGTAAATTTCTTGGCTGGTAAAATCTTTCCTCATGGACTCATCCTCACAAAAAAGAAAATTTTTATCTGATGTTAAATACTATTTGTGGGAAGAGGCTTATTTGTTTAAAGTTTATGGGGATAATTTGATTAGGAGATGTGTTCCTGAAAGTGAATTTATCATAGTTCTTGAGCATTGTCACTCTAAAGAGGTGGGAGGCTACTTTGGCCCCACCAAAACTGCTCATAAGATTTTGCAAAGCGGTTGTTATTGGCCTACACTTTTTAAATATGCATATGATTTTGTTAAATCATGTGATAAATGTCAAAGGAGTGGTAATATTTCTAGAAGGCATGATATGCCCCTCAACAATATTTTAGTTTGTGAAATATTTTATGTTTGGAGTATTGATTTTATGAAACCTTTTCCTAAGTCTTTTAATAATGAATACATATTGGTTGTTGTAGATTATGTCTCTAGGTGGGTGGAAGCAGTTGCTTTACCAACTAATGATGCTAGGGTGGTTACTAAATTTCTTAAGAAAATTTTTTTTTATCGGTTTGGAACTCCTAGGGCAATTATCAGTGATGGGGGTACTCATTTTTGTAATAAACTTTTTGATAATCTCTACAGTGTTACCCACAAGGTTGCTACTCCCTACCACCCCCAAACCAGTGGACAAGTTGAGGTATCTAATAGGGAGTTGAACAAGGTTTTAGAGCGCACAGTTAATAGTTCCAAAAAAGATTGGTCTATAAAATTAGATGATGCGCTTTGGGCTTATCGTACTGCTTTTAAAACTCCTATTAGCATGTCCCCTTATCGTTTGGTTTTTGGAAAAGCTTGTCACTTACCTGTTGAATTAGAACACAAGGCCTATTAGGCCTTGAAGTTCCTTAATTTTGATTTGCAGCTTGCAGGTGAGAAAAGATTGTTGGAGCTTAATGAACTAGATAAGATGCGCCTTACAGCATATGAGAATGTCAAGCTGTACAAGGAGCACACTAAGAAGTGGCATGACAAGCATATCTTACATCGTGAGTTCCATGAAGGAGAAAAAGTGTTGATCTACAACTCACGACTATGATTATTCCCTAGAAAACTAAAGTCTAGGTAGACTGGCCCTTATACAGTACTCAAGGTCCTTCCTTACAAGGTCTTAGAAGTATCTAAAGCTGGGGGAGAGATGTTTCAAGTCAATGGTCAGAGGGCCAAGATATACACGGATGGAGTGACCTCCACCCAACAGGCTATGTTCTTATAATAGCCCAACAAGACGTCAGGCTCATGACGTAAAACAAGCGCTTACAGGAGGCAACCTATGTTTTATTCTTCACTTTTATTTATTTTGTGTTCTTGTTTTTCAGAACAGGGTGGCTTTTCTACACAATTTATCTCACATTCAGGGAGTTTCTTTCTCTTTATTTCTCTTGTTCTCTTCATCTTTATTTTTTTTCCCTCTAAACATTAAGGACAATGTTTTGCTTTAAGTATGAGGGGGGTTCCATTATTGCTTGTCTAATTACTTGCTCTCAATTAATTTTGTGCCCTTATTTTGAGTAAATTTTAAAAATTTTGTCCCAAAGAACCCAATTTTATTTTTCAAATAATAAGAACATGATTGAGTAATTTCTATTGAGTTTTGGAGTCATTAAAAAATTAAAAAAGTATAATTAATTGAGATCTCTAGCTTTTTGCTCTACATTAAACTTCAATCTACATATGTGAGTTTTGAGCCTTAAAAGAGATTTTTATCCTAAACCTTTCCTCATTGCCTTGTGTGATTGTTCTCTTAAGATTTATGCTCTACAACTTGACTTATAACCGATTTGAGGCTACTCCTTTTGATTGCATGTTTTAAATATGATTAAGGCATATTAGGATTATTTTTTCTTGACCTTTAACATGTTTGAGAAAGATATACAACTAGTTGCCCACTTTGAGCTTTATTGATTTTTCTTGATCCTTTATATTAAAATTATAAAAAAAAATTGATTGACCTTGAATTTGTAAATGGAGCAATTAGGTTGTTGAATTGTTAGAAAAATTCTTCTCTATATCTTTATGTTGAAAAAACAAAAGAAAGAAAGAAAAAGTGTGTGTAAGTTGAAAAAGAAAAAAAATAGTAAAAAGAAAAAAAAAAGGGTTATATTTAAATGAAAGAAAAAAGGAGTAAAGAAAGTAATAATATAAAAAGCATTACTCTAAGAGCTTTATTTATAAACCTAAGGCATATTTATCATTGTTTTAATTAAGTTAACCTTTTGTGTATTCTTTTCCTTCATTTATCTCACCTTAATTATTAGAACCCTTTGGCCACATTATAACCTGTAAAAGACCTCATGATTTTTAATTGCATTCAATTGACTTAGTGGAGAGTTGGTTTATCATCAAGCTTATGGTAGTATATTTCTTCCTAGAGGAACTGAGAGTTCTCTATTTTTGTCCTTGTACACTAAAAGAGAGAGAGAAGAATAGAGTATCACTGTTTGATGATCGAGCAAAAAGATAGAGGATATAAAATTTTAAATGTCTTTTGATTACCTGAACTCAATGATATTACTCCTGCGTTCTTTATATCTCTGTTATTTTAGGTTTCTTATTTTGATGATATGTTTCAAATTGTTCCTTTATTCTTTAGCCAGGACTTTTGCTTAAGGGCAAGCAAATCTCAAGTATGAGGGAGTTGATAAGTTCATATTTTGACATATTTTATGACTTATATTTATACACTTAAAATTTATTTTATATATATTTACACTAATTATGTTATTAATTATTGCAGTTTAGTTGGAAGTTGTTATTAGTGCATTATGGAGATATTCAGGAGAAAAATTAGATACTTTTAGTCCTTGCTATGCTATGTGAATCTAAGTTTGAATTTTGAATTTAAAATTTAAACTTAGATAAAGATTTGGAGTAGTTTTCAGTTAAGATTCTGATTGTGGATAAAACTAATTTAGAAAGATAGAGCTCAACCAATTGGAAACTCAAGGCACAGTCTATATAAAGAGGTCTTATGCTCTACACTTGACACTTTCACTTCTCTACACACCTTCTTCCCCTTCTTAGTTCTACCCAAATTCATTTTTGAGAGTCATTGAAGACCATTGGCAAGGACGACAAGCTTTCCTTTAAAGTCCAAGCAAGTGATTGAGCGCCCCTTCGGAGAACGAGAACTCTCTTTGTCTTCTACCTTTTTGGGTTTCTTTTGTTTGAGTTTTTCTTTGTGGTTATGAGTTTATTGTAGGCGATCATACCACGTGTAATTAACGAAACTATAGGATAAAATGAGATAAGGGGCTAGGTTAATCATACTTAATTTCTTTCTTTTAGCTGTTATTGAATAAACAAACTTATAAGATCTTCATGTTTTCTCGACTAATTATCTTGCATAATCATTGGGGGTGTTTACTCAGGGAAAAGGATATTGACATATTGCATAATCATTGAGTGTTAATAGAACTAATTATGAGTGGTTGGCAAATATTTGAATACCAATATCAGGATTAAATTAATTAGAATATAAAGAAGTGTAGTAGGTGAACCCATAAGTTTTAAGCTCATCTCATCTGATTTCTCTCATACATTCTATTACTGTTCTTTTAATTTATTGTTAAATTTAAGCTCTTTTTTTATCCATTACAATCCCTTACGTTTAAACAATCAAATTAAGTTATTCTTAGTACTTGAAAATAATTTTTGTAGGACGATAACTTGGGAACTCTTAATTCAAAAATTTTTTATTACTTTTTGATAGGTACACTTGCCTACGAACAATAGACAGTGAATTATAAATAATGTATGTGTGAATATGTTGTAATGTGAATTTAGTGTAAAAATACATTTGTTGCCTTTATATTATAACTTATGATTTTATGATATAATGCTTGAAAAATGATAGAATAGATGTTCATCCTTACTAATAATTTCAGAAAAACAGGATGACGGAGCCTCGAGGAAGGATTAGACTAGTAAATAGTTCTATACATTTTAGGTTAAATTATATATTTAATGAATACCAGAGAGTAAATTATTTTAAATTTGCTCTACTTGTAGAAGATGAACCTAAGGCTTTTGTTATGATAGAGATAGATTTCTTTTGTAGTATTTCTTTTGACTTCCCTAGGAGTAGAATACACCAGACTCTCTGTGTATATATGTACAAAGGTAGCTTAGGACCTCAACAGCTCTCATGTATCTATTCACCTATCATGACCATGACCATCTCGGAAGACCGTCTATATGAATATTTCACTGGTACAGAGGTCAGACCAGATTCGGGAGATTGTTATTTGAGTTCAGATGATGATCTTGATTTAGAGGATTTGGTTGAGATAGAGAGTTGGCACGGAGTGGATGAGTAGAACCAATCTTCAGTAGTTTGTTTCGAAGAAAGACTGCTTTGGGACTTGTATATTTTTATGGATTGTAAATATTATAGCTATATATATATATATATATATATATATATATATATATATATATTGTTGTAAGTCTCATTCATTTTGATAAACAGTTTGTAACATTTAAAGTTGAAATATGTACTGTATATACAGGTTTCTTATGAAGACTTCTAAGTTGTATTTGTGATATTTATTTACTCTTTTCAATATGCATTAGTGTTATTATATTAATATTGTATAAAAAAATTATTTTCATTTATATATAGAACATAAAAAAAATTTTAGTAATTTGCTATAATGAATTCATAGAATTATGGAAAAGGTGTATTATTTTAATGGATTAAAAATAATATATATATATATATATATATATATATATATTACAGAATTTTGATATAAGGATGTTACACTTGTCTTATTTGTTATATTTATATACTTGCTAATACTTTCTAGAGCATTTATTTTATTTATTTAAATAATTTGTTTCTCTCACTTGAGAATTGAACTATCAAACTTTTGTCTTCAAACGAAGAGACTTACAGCTATATCATTTGTAATATTTGACTTTAGTATGTGATTTATCTTTTATATATTATATGCTTGAAGTATTTTTATTGTGCCTATTTATAATATATTTTTAGTGCACATATATTATAAAATAATTTTAGTTTAATCTTATTAACTTCTTTAATTGTATACAAATATTTAGTTTATACAAGTTTAAAAATTGTAGACTAAATTTAATCTTACTAACTTATTTCATTTTGACTTAAATATATTTAATTATATGCTTTTCCATCTATTTACAAAATTGAAAGAATGATCATGTCAATTGGTAATAAATCTCTGAGTATGACATTCAAAGAGTAAGATTTAAGATTGAAGAGAGACAATCCACTGACGTAAAAGGGTAGTCATAAATGATAATAAGTGAACTATAATATTAGCTAAACAATTTTAATGACGTGAGAAATTTCACGCAATTTGATTTTCATACTTAAATGTTATAAGTACTTTTGTTGTAATAAGTATAAATTTTTGGTAATATGTTCACCTCATTTATTTAGTGTAGCATGTTATTAGTGCATAATAGTTTGAGTCATTGTTTATTTGAATACAAATAATATTCTTAAAAATAAATCAAGAGAAAGCATACAGTAGGAGTCAACCAAAGTATAATTATATTAAAAATAAAATAGATTAAGTTGAGTTACAATCACGATAAAGATATAAATTATGCAAACAAATTAGTGACAAATAATGTCAATGCACTCTACAAAGCTAACATAAGACAAGTTTTAAATAATTTAAATTAGTATTATATAACTTATTTTGTTAAATTTTAAATATTTTATTATGTATTATTCAACAACACTATTATATGAATTAGTAAAATAAACAAAATAGTAGTTACGGAGGAACAATAGGAACCATAATGTATTATTATTCATATACGAGCAAACACATAACAACAGTGAAACAAAATGTGAATAAATACAAAACAATTTAAAGTAAAGTTGATAAATACTTAAAATATAATTCAATAAATATAAGTCATTGATTATATAAAAAGTGAATAACAATAAATACACAAATAATAAATATCTAAGTTACTATAAAATGTCTATCATATGTCATGAGGAGTTCTTGCTTTTTATTGTAATACATAACTACTCTTTTTAATAGGAGTATAGATTTAAATTTTAAATTTAAGTGTTTTGCCATTGGAGTGTACATATACGACACATATCAATTATCAGGCACAAAATGTGTATCACATACGTAATATGTATATTTTTTCTTTTGTAAGTATCACCTCTCACAAGTGCAATACTTACTGCTTAAATAGCAAAAACTATTATAGTTAAGAAAATAATTTAAGAAAAATCTTATTTTAGTATATAATTTTTAAAAAAAAATAACTTTTAATTTGAAAAGTTGTTATTTGTTTTTTCAGAATTTTACTTTATATGATATAATATAGAGAATTGGTTATTAAAAAGTAAATACAGTATTAAAAAGTAAATACAGTAGTGAATTCTTTAGCTAAATGTAGCCTAATCATCTACAAACACTTTAGGACTTGAAATTCCTTTTTTTCCCTTAATTTTTTAGTATATTTACTTCAAATTTATTTTTATTATAATTTATTTATTCTTTCTTTGCAATGCATTTATAAAATAAAAGAAGAGAAGCAAATAAAATTGCAATATAGGATTATTGAAACGATAGAGAAATTTAAAAGAAATGTTACAAAAAATACTATATATAGAAAATAACTTAAGATTTTAAATGTGTGTTTAAATATTATACTTTTATTAAAAATTATTATATCAAATATTATTTATACATTTAATTTTGTGATATTTTATAATTTAAATAAAAAATATTATATATAAAATTTATTATAAAAAATTATTTGTCATAAAGATAATAATTATCTTGACATTATAATAATCTTGTAATGATATTTTAAATACCTGCTAAACATCTCTATAATTCAAGTTACTATTATTTTAATAAATTATGAGATGTCTCTCAAAAGACCTCAAAGAAGGAAAAAATAAATCGCCACACATTAACATAATAATGATTTATTTGTCACTATTTAGTAAATTTTTTAATTTCTAAAAGTAAAGTAATAATATAAAATTTCAGGTATGAATCAACTTATTTATTTTATCTTATCTAATTTAGACATAAAAATATCTATTAATATCTCAAAATTATTCTTACTAAGTATGTCGTTTATGTTTTTACACTTAAACTAATGATGTTATGTATAATAAACTATAAATTGCTGAAAATTATTTTTTAGCATATCTAATATATACTTAATGTTGTGCACTTTTTTTTAAAAATATATTATCATAAATTTATATTTATAATTATAATATGTAAAGAAAAATGTGCAGTGTATGACCATTATATATTATTATATTTTATAAAGAAATTATTCAAATTTAAATTTGTCAAAAATATTTTATATTAATAATAAATTATTTTTAACATGTTTATTTTGTCTCTCTATATAAAGTTACATAACTTATGAATTCATCACTATTCAGAATAATATTAATGATAAATTAAAAACTGATCACATATATTATTTTTTAATAACAAATTTTATATTCATTATTAACATATATATATATATATATATATATATATATATATATATTTCATAATAATTTTTATTGTGTATCTTAAAAGTATAATATAATCAAATGTGGAGACAAGAAGCATAATCAAAATAAAAAGTTCAGGGGTCAAAACAAGCGCACCCAGTCAGAAGAGAAGTAAAATACCCAAAAAATAAAACCTTAGAATAAAATTCACTGTTTACATGTGAAGAAACCAATTTGTACATTGCTCAAGGTTTGGGTTCCCTTCTTTGATCTCCTAAATCTCAATATCGCCACAAACACTTAGATTTATACCGATCTGTACACAAACTCCCTTTCTTTATTTGCAGGCCAAAGGAAAACCTACCACACCAAAGCAAAACTCCCTAATATTCAGACTACAACATTACACGAGTAATGTATAAGTATGCCTTGCTTTGATTTCTTCTGCACACCTTATGGTCCTCTCAATATGGTATCCTCCTCCAATGCTCACTTCCCTCTCTAAATGGCAGCAATAACTCTCAAAAACACTCACATTTACATGCAATTTGAAACCCATCAAGAAAAGAAATTCCAGCTCCAACTTGTTCAGATCATTAGTTGTCAACCCACCAACTCTTCCAAAGTAGGAATTTCTATAGTTTCTGTAAAATGCACAAAAAGGAAACATCATTATTAGCACATCATACCCTGAATTTCAATCCAAGCTAATTAGATAGTTGAGCAATTGACTCCTTATCAGACATGAACAACACGGACCAAAATCTTGGTGGCCTTAAGAAAATTGTCCCTTTCCTCAGTTGTTAGCAAGTAATGTCAACGATTGAGATTGACATAAACAAACTAATTTAATATTTTCTCTCTTTCCACAATTTAACAACCCCCCCTTTTTAATTACAGACAAGTACAAGTTATAAAATGTATAACATACAAGATGATCATAATAAAAAATAAAGGAAAGGAAAACTCACATGTCTTCAACATACTTGGAAGCCACCATGATGGTTGTAATGAGAAGCCTATGAACATTTCTGGCATTGATTCTGAACCCAGGATTGTTCTGGCAGAACCTGTCAATATAGACATAGGCAACAACGTAGACCGATGGTCCTGCACGAGTGTACCTGAAAATTCTCTCTAGATAGGATTGGATTGTCATGTCTGGGATCTCTCTGCAATCAAAGATGTTGGTGCTAATGGCCTTCGACAAAGACCAAGAACCATTCTTGACAATCCTCTCAGTTCTGGCCATGCTCCTCTCAATCAGTGAAGCCAGAACATTTATGACTAATGGGGTGCTAGAATCTTCTTGGTAGGAATAGGAATACAAATCAGAACGAAGCTTTCTTGGGGAAATTGTCAGAGAAGAAGCCATGAATAAAAGGGAAAGTAGGTTCTTTTTTAAAGCCTTGTGGGTGAAGGTTTTGAAAGGGATTGGTCTAAAGGGGGGTTTGTTGTCAAGCACCAAGTGATGGTGGGGTTTTGTTTGTGTCCAAAAGAAAGTTTTTTAAGTAGCCTTTATATATTGTATTTTTCTAACATTTTGTAAAATTATAAGCGATAAAAAGTTAAGTAATATAAATGAAACTTGTAGTTAATGGTATTATACATTAAATTATATTAAAAACATTAAAAGAATATTTATATGTAATGAGCGAATGATAGAGTCGGTAACACAGAGTCGGCAATGGAACGAGTAAGGAAGTAGAAGGGATAAATAAAAAAAGAGAAAATGAATTTTGGTCATTGGGAAGGTGAGTGGAAGCTTCAATTGAATTGAAATGAAACCCACGAGGATATAGATATTTTATTTTAATAAAAAAATATTTGCATTTTAAATAAAAATGTTAATATATTTAAAAATTAATTTTTATTTCTTATAACAATTTGTTTAAGTACATAACATTGTACAAAATAATAAGTTATATATTAAATTTTAATAAAAAATTAGAGAAATCGATTCAATTAATTTGTGAATATTATTAAATATTATAATTTTTAATAAAAGTATATTATTTATATCTTCTTATTATGTGTAATTCTGTAAATTGATCTCATAATTAAAAAATAATAATTGTTTCTTATACAGAAGAAAAGAAGACTCAATCAGTTTGTTGGAAATTATCTTTTATTGAGTCTCTTGATAACTCTTAATTTATCTAAATAATAAAAATATTTGATACAAACAACAAAGCATTAATAAAAGAATAAAAAATAATTATTATGTTAAACTTGAATTTGTACGGGTGGCAAATGGCAATGTGCTTGAAATTGAGGTATCGCCGACAGTGTGGTTAAGGGGAGAGAAAGAAGAGGTTATTTGTGTAGGGTGTGTGGACCCACAAATTTAGAGGGCATTTAAGCATTGACCCTTGCCTTCGAGATTTGTGCTGTTTGAGAGTCCCAATTGTGATTTGTGAGTAGGACTACACACAGGTACTAATACACCTTTCGAGTACCACCACACGTGCATGCCTCTCACTCATCTTAGATCGTACAATCTTGGTTTTGCCACTCGCACCCGTGCCACGTGCACCTTATTGCCTTCTTCTCCTTTCTTATTTCCTCCTCTGCTTCTTACTCATATTTTATAAGATCTAAATCCTTCAAACAATTATATACAATTAGGACTACACTTCAATGGGTCATGCAAGCATCACAGAAATCATTTGTCTTTTAGAAATATCCTATACAACAAACAATTCTCCTCAACGCATCATCACCCTCGCACTTAACATCTTTCTTAACAACTACATATTCAAATTAGAGTTATGAGACCACAGAATTGTCACGTTGGTTTTACGGCACAGAACTAAAAATAAAGAAAGAAAAATGCGTAGAATTGTGAAAATAAATGAAAAAAGAACTCAACAGTATATTTATAAAATTTAAAGAAACAAAAATTAATTATATAATTAAAAGATTAATAATAAATTTAAGAATTTACAAATAAAAAAATTTATAAAAAAATACACAGTTGTTATATTAAAGTTATAAAAATATAATAAATATTTATCTTTTTAATAAAATTTTACTATCATATTAAATTATTTTTAAAATATATAAACTACTTATTGACTATGATATTAGTCTAGTAAACTAAAAATCAAAAATTAACTAAGAATAATTTTAAAAATGTATTACTAATACTTCTCCTTATTTTTTTAATTACAAACTCTACTTTTTTTGTAGTTTGAATTTGTTAACAGAAAGTGGATTTGTCGTTTATGTTTGCTTTTTGTTTCAAACTAAAATCAAATATAATTTAATATGTTAGTTTTTATATTTCCTTTGTCTGAGACGGAATCATTACTTATTTTGATTTTGGTGATGTTAGTTGACATCAAATCTCTAGAGTTTCTTATTATTGGTCATGCAGTTAGTGCAACTACTATCAATTTGTAAAACCTTAATTATTTTCAATTCATTTTCAATAAAATATTTCACAATTTATAAGAGATAATAATATTTTTCATTCCAATAAAAATTTGAGTACAATATTCCAATAGAGTGTTTTAAAATAGAGGATGAGTTACAAGTTTGCATCAAAATAAAGGCTACAGGACTCTTTCAGTGTAATATAATTTTTAAAATAGATTCTAAGTCCTATAACAGTATCATCCATCCCATTTAATGAGCATGGTGCTAATCGTCTTGGTCACCTGAAAATGATACGTAAGGGTGAATCTTCTACACTATCACAAACACGACATGAAGACTCACCTTGCACATTCAAACATTTCCCATACAAATGAGCTATACATTAAGCAAGCATCAACTAATTCTTTCTGACAATACACATCACATTCACTATACCATAACAAGTCAACCACACACACACATCAAGTTCACATTGTCACACAAGACAACCCATGCATACAAGCACACTCACTATGCAACCCACTCGCATAATGTCATCACACATAAATCAAACATAGGTGCGCTCACTGCAACCTAAATCAACACACACACACATGTGCGCTCACTGCATGTTAGTCACGCTCATTGTGATCACAGTTTCCTGACGCCCTCAACCTCAAGGACTTACTTAGTTTCACACTATGGATGGTTACCGGTTAGCCCCCGCCTCACAAATACAACGTGTGCGATCACAGACCCCTTAGCAAAGATATTAGTCGGAGGTCGAGTCAAGAGAAGAGTGTGTGGCTTGTGGTGCATCCACCCTCACTGTTGGTGTCACTATTACCCTCCTTTTTTCCAAGGTATTTCTACCACCCCATCTTCTACACCTCCTGTGTATCACTGTAACCATTCATAGTTTTCAACCATTTCAAACACAACCACAATCACAATTAATATGTCATTTACACACATTCACCCACTTTCATCACACACATTACTTAATATCAACCATATTATACTCAACCACACAATTTTCATTTGTTTATCTACCTCAATGCATATTGTTTAAGCACAATATCACATTCTTATCATTCACACTCATACATTCATCACAACCCTATTGTAATCAAGTTATTTCATCATCCATAACTACATCCCATCAAAACATGCATCTTCCTACGTTCTATCTCAACTACATTCCAATACATAGCAATACAAGCGAATCGTAAACACAAAGAGATAGAGTAGAGTCCCCTTTACCTTGGATTGAGGACCCACAATGAAATCAACATTAGAACATTCCCCTCTCACGAATTTTTGTCCTAAATACATGGAATAAAAGCAGAACGGAGAAAGGGTGAAAATAAAACCCTAGCTTAGAAAACATACCTCCAAACACCTAAAACACAATCTCAATCTTCAATCTAGGGAACAAATGGCTTTGGAGGTAATTTAACTGGTGAAATAGGGTGAGAGATTGAGAGAATCGAAGGGGGAAGAGTGAGAATTATGTTTTTCTGAACCCTAAACCCTTTAAATATCCTAAGAGACGCGATATTCTCGCTACAACAAGACATCTCTCGCTGCAGCGAGGCATCTCTCGCTACAACGAGGCATTTCTTGCTACAGCGAGGCCCCTTCTCGCTATAGTGAAAATATCATACAAAACTGCACTTGATTTTCTGCATAATCTCGCTACAGCGAATCTAAAACAAAAAAATACCCCTTCTTTGTTGCCCTCTCACTACAACGAGGAGCCTCTCTCCATGGCGAGAAAGCAATATAGACACCCACATCTCCTGCAACCTTCTCGCTACAGCGAGAATGTCCCTGTAACACACATCAGCCCATACTCTCAAGCATTTTCAATCCAACCACAAGTCAACATTTTCATCTATACTCATATATATACATTTCTATCTGCATACATTCATATATATGCATATTTGCATCATCAACATAATTCAGATACGCATTCAAATAACAATACTCATACTTATATTAATAATCCAATATTATTACAAAATCTAGGGTATTACACAATTAGCCAACCTTCATTTGATTTAAAATCTAAGAAACAAGTAGCAACAAATAAATGATCTTCTTCCTCTTAATCTTGATGTTAGTTTTTTTATATAACTTCTTCATGTCCCATTTGATTGTATTTATTGCATTGTGTATTAGGCGTCCTCTAACATTCTGAAATCAAGATGACTATTTTTTTTTCACAATGATGACATGGAAGATAAGTTTTCTTCTTATTGTATCGTGCACTTTCATGATACATGGCATATAAGGCTCCCTCGACAACAGCTTCTTGTCTCATTGTACACCTTTGTTCTTATGCTTGTAAAGCATTTAAGAGTTTTACCAGTGTGATTTTGGACAAGTACTTGATATTCTCTAAGATAGTGATTGTAGTCACAAATCTTTTGAGCACTATTACAATATTTTTTTCTACAATTCTAGAATTAGGAAACTTAGTACCTAGTAATCTTACATTGTTAACTATGTCAAGTAGCTTGTGTGAGTATACTTTAATTGTCTCAGATTCTTTCGTTCTCTGGAGTTCAAATTTTCTCATCAATTTAAGCACTTGTATGCCTTGAATTCTTTTATTTTTGGCATATTCTTTCTTAAGATAATACCAAATTGACTTTGTTGTTTTAAAAGTCATGATTCTGTTGCCTTTGTCTTTCGTATTTTTCTCTCGTTGTGACTTTTTGTTTAGGTCATGATAGGATTGTGTGCAGTAGAAGAACTTCGTAATCCTCTTCAACAACTTTCCAAAGATCCAAAGCCTCTAAGTAGGTAGGCTTTCATTTTGATAGTTCAAAGAGCATAGTTTTCTCTATCAAAGATAAAAGAAACAACTTGTGAAAATTTTGATTCAACATCCATTTTTACAAGTCTGTAAGAAGATAACTCTTATACCATTTTATTGGTTTTATAGCACAAAAGTAAAAATAAAGAAAGAAAAATGTGAAGAATTGTGAGGAGAATGAATAGAAAAAGAACTCAACTTTATTCAATAGCAATAATACATTTATAATAATTCAAAAAACATAAACTAATTATATAATTAAAAGATTGATAACAAATTTGAATAATAAAAAAATT